CAATCGTCTTTTAATATTAAGATCAATCTTTTCTGTAAGGACTTCACCGTACATAACTTTTCAAATTTCCTTGCGCAATAAGCAACTCTTGTTCATTACTACAAGATACTATAATGACGATGTTGATAGTGGTGATGATGGCAGTGTACAGACAGGAGTGGGAATCCCATAGGATAAGCATTTGTGGGTTCCCTCAAGCTCCGTCTTCAGTCGTGCATTGGGTCGTTCAGAACACGTTAAAATGAAATTTGGCATCATACAACAGAAAATCTCAGAAAATCATTTTAGTGATTATTACCATTTATCATATAATTATCTATGAAATACCTAGTGTATTTCTCTATTTATTTTTCAGTGAAAATAACACATTCGCGGTTTCTCTATATAGTGGAAGTAAGAAAAAGGTTATTTAAATACATAATTTCCTTTCATATGTAATTATATGGTAAACAGAATATCATCATGGGCGCTTGGAGTTGCAAATTTTATCTTCTCGTGTTGAAAATCTTTCACTCGTTTTCTACACTCGTGAGAGATCTTTTCAACACTCGAAGATAAAATCCGTATCTCCGCGCGCCCATGTAATATCCTCTATGTCTTGTACAGGGTTCTGTTTAACATACTATCTTGCCAAGACCGATGGTCGTAAGCTAAGGGTTTTACATATTAACCTATAAAGCTGTTACAGCTTAACTTGTAATGTGGAGCTGTTATACGCTCTCTACGTAGACAGACAGGTATATCAAAGTTCTTGTTGATGGTATTTGATACGGATAAGAAGAATCCAGGATATCATATACGATTTACGTGAATTCACAGAACATGTATTAGAAGAACCCGATGAAGCAGAGTTTCGATGTGTTCCGTGACAGGTGAAACTGTCCCGAGTGGTCCCCCATAGTCTCCAAATTTGTCAAGTTTTCAGTTTTGAGCGCGCAAGTGTCTCAGGATAACCTCGACACGGATGGGTTGGGGCTATTTTTGGGGAAACTTGTGGATTTTTTTGCCCGAAAAGCGTTTCTCTAGATGCCTCTCGTCCAAAATAAGGTAAAAACGTTGATTTACATATGCTGTATGAAATAAAATTTCGTTTTGCTTAATTTCGGGCGCGAAGAAAATCATTTTGTCGATCGTTTTTGGTCTCTTTTTTAGGAGATTTTGAGCGGTGTCTCCTCCCTTGTCACTATATATATATATATATAGGGAGGGGAATTTTAAGTGGGGAAACCCACTTATGATAAATCCACTTGTGATAATGAATAAAATAAAAGTAGACCATTTTTTGAAGTAAAAGTTTTATTACCGTGTATCTTATAAATTCTGTATAGGATAATGCGAATGCAATATGAATGCTAAATTTTCAATGCAACTAAAAATATTCAAAAAATGATGTGAAAACATCATACGCACATGCAGCGTTGCCAAGCCTGGCTCGCTTAGAGCTTCAGCGTAAGATAGTGTACCGGGTAAATAATTCGTAGTGCGAGTTTTTGAAAGCGTTCCAGGTCCTCACTAAGGTAAGATGGTAGCGCACGGTGGAAAACTGGACTTGCGTATTCCAGTATAGATCTAATGCACGTCGTATAGAATAGGATAAGTTCTTTAGGGGCAACCGGCGATCTCTTAAGTTGCCTGAGGCAGTAAAGGCGGGAAGAACCTTTCTTTACAAGTTCCGAGATATGTGCGTTGCATTTAAGATATCGTTGCTAACATTAACATTCAGTCCCAGAATTTTGGAGTAGACACCACTTCAAGGGAATTGCCGTTAACTTCTACGGAGTCGATAATTGTCTGCTTCTTTGCAAAACAGATTCTAAGCTCCTTACACTTGTTCTCATTGAGTTGGAAGTCATTGGAGATAGATTGTCTAGAAAGACTGTCTATAACAGCAGCTTTAATGTTACTTGGATGGCCTTTCTCTACAATTTCGGAAATTGACGTGTCGTCAACGACACGAAACTGAGACTGCATACCATCTGCAACGCAGGCGCTACCACTTTGAAACCCAATATTCACGACTACGTAGAAAAGTCCACTGGCATTTTTAGACGTGGGCTTCCACGTAATTATTTTTTAAGAAAAAGACAGCTTAGTCCCCAGGCGTTCTTCGTTATTGTAATGACGTCACAGGTGACGTCACAGGGACTCTCTAGACCAGAATAGAACGCCTGGGACTAAGCAAACGAAAAGAAAAGATATAAAACAACTGCAGTAACCATGMTATCGCCTTATGTCAATTTAAAAGAAAAGAGCTGAAATCCCAATTGAAATTCTTTGAATAGCAGTAATATGGGTTCTTTKGAAAACCCATAAGGTCCATGAATATGATAGCATTTGTTAGGAGCGCCTGGTCAGACACAAAGSCCGAATACGAATTTCAATATTCCTATTCAGCTAGAAAAATTTATTCTAAATTACCTATTTTTCTCGACAAAAAATGTATTATTTACTACYAAGAATGCTAAAAACCGGACCGTCTGGCCAGACGCGCGGTTCAGACTAAATGCAAATTGCCCTAAAACGAGAACTCTCTTTCTCTCTGTGTGTCTTCATTAAGCTATGCAACAAAACAYGACTTTTTAAGTGTAATAGCTAATAAGACGCAAAAGAAAATAATGACACTAATGGAATTAGATCGTAATAAAGTATATTATGATTCAACGACAAATTTTACCTCGCTCTCATTGTTCGATAGTCGACCATATGACGCGATRGTGACCGCTGTGAAAGGGTTCTTTTAGGAGGAGCAGGCAACTTCTATTCTYCTAAAAACTGTTCTTATAGGATTTTTTTCTGGGAATGGGATTTCCGGACCTTGATAGTGATAATCAAYTGTGGACCTCTATTCTCTTGAATTGCAATAACTGAGACAGATATAGAGGATATTACATGGGCGCGCGGAGATACGGATTTTATCTTCGAGTGTTGAAAAGATCTCACACGAGTTTGCGTAGCGAACAACTGATAGATTTTCAACACGAGAAGATAAAATTTGTATCTCCAAGCGACCATGTAATATTCTGTTTATCATATAATTACATATCAAAGCAAATTATGCCGTAAAATACCTTTTTTCTTACTTTCACTATATAGAGAAACCCCGAATGTGTTATTTTCACTTTTGAAAATAACAATTTTACGAAATGGAGAAATATAGGTATTTCATAGATAATTATATCAGAAATATATCTACAAGGATTTCTACGTTGGCCCCGGCCCCGGCCTAAAAATCAGTACGTTTTTGGTCTGATGTATGCAAAGAATGCAACTGAGGTGCATAGAAAATGGAGACAAGCACTCTTCTTAATTAGTAGTTGTGTTTTTTTTCCCTGGGTTGGTTGCCTGTTTCATTGATAGTAACAGCCGGCGCTTTTATRCTTAGATGAATTAACTGAAGCTGTTATATATAATGTGGAAACCTGTCGCCTGTCATTACCGGATGATAACGTATGCAAGGCGACAAGAGCGCTTTCATTCCAATATCTCAGTCTGGAAGAGAAGTCACATTATTCAGGTAGCAGAGATTGTGAAAATGACCCCTAAAAGGGACCTCTATTGTGAAATGATGGGCGTGGCAGTGCTGAAATTTCAACCCTAAAAGGGACCAATGAATAACAGGTCATTTTGTTTTGGTTTACCGATTTTATTTGTGTTTTTACACAATCATCGAACACCGTCGGCTCGTTATGAGTTTTGAAGGGAAGAAGTAACAGTTCTATGTGATATTTAAAAAACTCGTAGTTCGTCGGCCTCGTGTTTATATCCACGATAAAACACGAACTACGAGTTTTTTAAATGACTTCTAAAACCCAAACCTAAGAAACTACAATAAACATGAAATAAATAAAAAAAATATATCAAAAATGAATAATTGATGAAGATATCTCCATCTGAGCATGAGCAGTAATCAACTTGGTTTTCCAAATCCAAGCGCCACTATGTGTACTGTGACTCTGCAAATAAGTAATTTCAACTCGAGGCCTAGTGACGTTCTATGATGAAAGTCTAAAACTGAGAACTTTTCTAGTGTTTGGCACACATCGAGTGTCTGTAAATCAGTTACATCACTGATGTTTTATGCATGAGTGTTATAACTAACTGAATCAGTTAGTTATAAAACTCATGTTTAATTAATCAGTGTTTTTAACTTGAGTTATAGATCCTGTCATGTGACCCATAGTTGAATGCTCATTGGAAGAATGTCTAATGAATAATTCATGAGTTTTAGAAAGTGACATAATTGTCTAATCAGTCACACCTAATAGAAAGGCTCTCTGTTAGAGCTTGCTCGCCGATAGGCAAATTTTACTTTCCGCCATTTTGTCCGGTAAAAATTGCAAAGAACAAGACTGAGAATTCTACTCAAGAGCAAGTTTTGATAGTCAATAAATTTTAGAGTCTACCATAAGCGGGCAACCTCTGGAAAATGTAGCTCTTTATCCGAAACAAGCACAAACAGACAACGTGCTCGGCCGTGTATTTTCTCTTAGTGCAGGGGATGCTTGAAGCACAGTTTCACCTTCAGTTTTACAATGCCTGTCCTAACACGCACTGATGCTATTGTTACATATAAATCACATGCACTTGCTAATTATGTGGAATATTATTTGGAAGYGAGCACATGTTAGTGCAGTTCACAGTGCTACCTTGATACAAGGTATACTTATTTCAAATATTCACGTAAGCCACAGAAGAAGGCATTTAAACATAATAGGTTTTTTGCTTGAATGTTGAGATCCTGCTTGGTCCATCAAGGTCCTTAGTGGTCCATATAGGCACATAGTAATGAAGACGTGAACTTTAGCGATCTATAAGACCGTTGTTCTTGATTCAACTCGCAATACAGGGATATTGGAAGAGTCTGGCTGAGAAGATTGATGATTTGCCAACCTGATAAAGGTAAAAACACGGATAAACTGAGAGCTTGTTCAAGTGATTTCAATTTTTGATGCCTTGGTGGGTAAAAAGTGACGGAGAACCTGTAATGGTATTGGTAATCATTGAATTAAATACGCARTGGTCTAGTAGTGATTGACGCAAATGTTAGATTCATACATTCTTTTACAAGAGGAATGGATGGTTTCCTGCAATCCTGGAAGAAATATATCTKTTCTTTATGTCCCAGCCAACTTGTTGCCAGCAAAGTTATAATACACTCAGAATCATTTTATTTAATCACGGAGAGGAATAGGCTATAGGAATTTTTCCCAGGAAACTCTTCACGACCTTTTGCAGGAAGGGAAATCCCGAATATCTCGTAAATATCTCGTAAAGTAAGTGCTTTAAGGGCCGTAAGGGAGAGTTTTTCCCAATTTAAAATTCTAGTTCTAAATCACTTTCCCAGGAGAAAAATCGTGTAAGAACAGTTAGAACGACAGACTCGGCTCCTCCTGCCTTTTCTACATTGACTCGATATCCCCCTGCAGCACATACAATCTCGTCAAATATCCTGTCTTCCCTAAGTATGATATACACCAAAAGGTCGTATATCTGAACCTTACCCGAATGAACCAAACTCATTTTTGAATAAATTTTTAACATAACGGCCATGTTTGTTCCAGAATATCTCGCCCAGTACAAGTACAATGGAGGAAATGCCRCCAGTTGCAAGCACCATGTACACACCAACCATGTTATCCAATTCTATTTGCTTGCCAGTTCCAATAGCTGTGAATTTATTRAAAGTGTAAGTTCATGATAATAAAAAGCACATATAAAGCAATGTCTGAAAACTTTGAATACTGAATAGTGCATAGCTCATTCCAAGACTATAAAATAAAWTGACAATTCTAAGCTTGAATACTTTCTATCAGAAGTGTAGTCACTTGGAACTCTTTTTAAACGCCTCGACAAAAAAACTAACAATGCATTGCGGTCTTGGAATACACTATCTTCAGTATTCGATTTAATTTTTCTTTTTTGCCTACTTTGCCCCTATTGGTCAACTTTCTTTGCTCCTCTCTTTATGTAAACTCACACTTAGCCTAGTTTCATCTCTTTACTCGGACGAAGGAGTCCGACAGCWTCAGTGAGTTGTTTCACCTACATGTACTTTTTTACTGTGTTAAATKTTTACACKACTATAYTTTTTTCTGAAATAGCTGCATCCACTGACATGACAATGAGTTCTTAGTCATTTTTGACTTAAAAGTCAAATGTAGGAAAGTTGAAGACAGTTTTACGAAAAAAAGGGGGTGGAATGACTTTGAAAAAAAAATCCTGCTCGGCAAAGTATGCGCTGAAGCTTTGTAAATGTACAAAAAAAATTACAAGCGCGCACCTGAAGTCCTAAACAATTCTTGCATGGACAAATCTTCCAACGTCTCCTCTCCCCCCTCCAAAATTATAATGAATCGCCATTTAGTATATGATGCATTTGAATAAATAACGGTGTTTAGCTCACCTGATCGTGACTGTTCTTTTGGACACTGACTACGATTATCCCACCATTTACGCCACAGGGAATCCAATTCTCCATTTTCGTGTAGTTGTAGTACTGCTACGGATACGTTACGTGCGTAGGGATAATACTTTGGCATGGCAATTCCGTAACTACTCGCACCAAGTAGACCACTTGCTGCAAAAACACAAGAATAGTTCAAATCTCCCTTCGTAATTTTACTAAAATTTGCAATTATTTTGCGAGAACATTATGGATATTGKTTTTTTCACACCCTACTATGTAACTAGACTATATTCTCRWCMGTTTGGGCAATGTTTTAGATAGAGACTGAGCTCAGACAATCCAGAACATTCWAAAAATATTTAGYTTTTAATATACAGCCGATCAAGATTTGCRATGATATTACAAGAACTTTTCCAGTAACCAGTTAGGCTTGGCGCTGCTATTAGGCCAGTAAAAAGCAAGATAATGCACTCACCTGCTGTGAGATCACAKGGCTCCTGCATGATAACATACTCAGTTGACGGCTTCTCCGCCATGAAAACTGCATTCTTGATCTTCCTTGCAATGCTATAGCCATCAGTGGTCGAATTCACAAACGTTTGCTGTGCGGTAACGCGCTGATATAGTTTACGGTACGTCTGATAGCTTGCCGCACGAAAGAAATGATGAAGAGAAGTATCTCGAATGATATAGAATGAAAAATCTCCTTCAACTACTTCTTCWAGAGTGCTTACGGCTTTGCTTGCGTTYCGTACAGTGAAAAACGCAGCCAGGTTTGCMGTGTACGTAGAAATCCAGATAAGGATAAAAAACCAAAAGCAACCTGCCAAGGCACGACCTAAAGGGACATAATAAAATCAAAATAACCTTTGTCTCTGATGTATTTGACATTTTAAATAGTTAGAAAATCGATTATTTTTTAATAATATAGCCGACATTTTGACTTCTGTTATTTAAAGTATTAATTCAAGTCATTGTCCAGTGAATACTAAACAAGAAATCGATACTTATGTGAATTTTAGAATACGTTGAGATTGAATATTACACCATAAAGCAATTAAAAACATAACCACTCGGATGTTTTGAAGTATTAATTTAAATTTTTAGACCGAAATTATCAAGGAAATAAATTTTTCGTTTCCATTTTATATCATGCGTGSTTTTGCGCCTCCACATATTATCCGACATATTGTTTTTTTCAAAATTCAAAATGGCGGCCGTTTTAGGAAAAACGTCTTTTCGTAAAACGATAGATGTGATGATGATTGAAATTTTGTAGAAGTTTTAACGGAATGATTTTGAGATCTTCAAAGTATATCAGTTTGAAGGATTGATATCATCACATTCTCTTGATTTGATTTGAAACGGCATATTGAAAAAACATAATGTACACCAACGAACAAGAAATCTTACTAATACTRTWGTAATAATACCCGATAAAGATCTTGGAGTATTGTCAGCGCCTTGCTGTAACATTGAAGCAAGACAGAACCACAGACTATTGAACAARTTAAAAGCCTCGTTGTTCTTTGATCTCTTTGACTTCTTAAATCCATAAGGACTGATGTAGTTAACTACGTACATTAAAGCTGTGACCACGACTAGTGAAGCTAGAGTCAAAAACCTGAAAAAAGGAATCAAGCATTAAAAACCATAACAATTATTTTGTCAAGTATTGATGATAACTAAAAGGCTTAGAGGCCGGTTTATTAAATAAGCGACTAAAATTTAAGTATACCATTTTTCCTTTTCTGCCAAAGGTCCAGTAAATATATTGATACCTTGCTGTTTCAAACAAAATATATCATAGTCCATATCACAAGCCCGCCATTTTGAATGGTTTTGCAATGTATCATGGGATATATCTCCCTTTCTTCATCAAAACAAATTGATAAAATCGTAAAAAAAATTAGTTTCGATTCTCCCACAGACAACATTTGTTTGTTTTCATTTTTGCTTGATTTGCCTAGTAAATGGACATTCTCGATCAACTGTACATTTTTTGGAGGTTTTTCTTGCTGTATTTCCTTGCATGTTGATATTTGTTTGTTTTTTCGCTTCTGAGATTTACTACAATATCAATAATTCCCAATGTTTTTCATAGACTTAGTCTACGTTACAGACAACTAGAGCACTGACATCGTTGTTCACTTGTTTACTCATTTACCAATCCCAAAATGCACTGCGTCACAAGGCTTCTCGCGTGTTGCGATATGGACTATGCAAAGACACCAACAGAATTTTTGGAAATATTGACGAAAATGCTGACTACTTTTAAAGCCTAACGCTTTTGAACTGGATGCCAAGCTTCAGGTAACACATCATCATCATCATAAAGTATATGTTAAATATAAGAATTTAGTATTCGATGCGTAGAAAAACATAAATTGCGCGCGCGCTGGTCACAACATGATCACAAATTGAAATAAGATTAGACCTGCGGATACATCAGTCTTACCACACAGTGGAGGAATACGGCAGCATAAACGCCATCAGGTCTTGACTGTCTRAGTCAAGTTTCTTGGTAATGAGGCTCATTGTAAACTGCATAAAGGGCTTACTGAACTCTAGAATTGGTAGACGCTCAGAGGTGATCGTCAGTGGAGATGTTGACATGTCTGCAAGCTGCATAAGAAAGAAAATATCATTACTAAAGTTGTCTCTAGACCTTATAGAAAACCTTGATCAGTGCTATCYAAGTTTACGATCATTACGAATGGAGACGAACTATTAGTTATCTTGGCATTTTAAGTTCACTTAATATAATTACGTGGGATTCCTGTGGAAGACCACGTCTAAAAATGCYAATGGCTTTTCTCTGTCGTCGTGAATATTACGCTTCAAAKTGGTAGCGCCTGCGTTAGAGATGGTATCAATTTCAGCCTGTAATAGTTTTTAGTTCTTCAGTTCAGTAAAAATTAAGATGTAATAAAGATGTAAATTACCTATATTAACTTAATTCTGTCTTTATTTCAAACAAAGACTCCATCGTGAAAATGAAATACTTCTGACCATTGTCGCAGCTACAGGAAGCCCACGTAAGCRATCTATGATCATCTAGTTATAATTGAAAGTGACACTGGAGTCTACATGTCTACCACACAACTCTGTTCTGTAAGCCTGGAATTTATGGATGCAGTCATTTAAAAACCTTTCTTTTCGTCGCACCATATTTTGGATCATTTCCATAAATCCCAGTTTTTCATTACAGGGAACATTTTCTGGTTTACYGCCAACTACCCCATAGTTGTTTTCGTTTACTTTCCATAYTTGAACAACTTAGCTTTGTTCATAAGAATGGCCGATTAGAGTACAAACATTAAATGTGTGCAACACTTTCCAGTATTTGCTACAAACATAATTTGGCAGTAGTGCTATTTATATTGCACAGTTTAGTGTTTGTACTCTAGTTATAACACATTAAGGGACTTTATCGCTATTTCCCATTCCAAAATTCAAAAAGGGACTGGTGACTAGTTACAAACTCGATCCCGTTTGAAGCAATCAAAAAACAGACACCAGGACAAGAAATAGCATACTAATGTGGTTATAATTGCTGAGTTTCTGAGTTTGAGCGTATTCATATTAATAATTACAGGGTTGCAAGCGTTTAAAACTCGAAAAAAATCTAAAGATTTGTATGGAGCTCTTGAGCAGCGTCCCAAAAACCATACATTCTTTCTTATTTTTACAAATTTGAAAAAAAATCATACTCGGTAGGTATTCACTTAAATAGTCTCAAACTTGACAAGAACACTAATTGTAGTGTGGTCTTTCATGTGATGAGGCTCAGTTTTCAATGAATGGACTATTTTCACACACGTTCCCAGTCTCCTTTTGCATTTCTGAATGGCCAATTGCAGTGCATGCTTCTCTATATATGTGCCTTTAGTATTGATCGTTTTCAACCATTCCCATGAGATTCAAAAGATAAAAGACSGGCGGCCATGTTGGAGGAMTGAACAGTAGATACTAATTGGAAATCCTTTKTTAAAGTTCCTACAASATGGCCGCTGTGACGTAACTTGAAAAGGAAGAATGGAAGGTAGTTATCATCTTTTGATATTTGGGATTACTTCACGTAGAAACACTCCTGAATAAATGGATATTCGTTCATTTTCTTTGTGTATTGATTTGTCACTTACCCCTTTCGAAAGCTGTCCYACAATCCCATTGTARCTTCCATCAGGATTTTTCCCACCATATAGACCATCAGGACTCAAGTATAAATCATATCGGAATTTCAGCTTTTTTGCAATCATGTGTATCAAGTCTATACTGAACCCCTGGAGCTTTCCATCCTTGCTWCGAATCACAAAGGGGGGATCCTGCAGGTTGAATAAAATAATAATAAAAAATAAAAAAACAATCAAATAAAAACTAAAAAGAGAAACTAGAAATAAATAAAAATTAAGAAATGAAATGAAATAAACAGATACGAATAGAAGAAAAAGTGAATAACGTTTTTCTTTTTCTGTATGATAAAAGAAAAATTMAAAACAGCTGAAATGACTGGAGAAATCACTAAAAAAGCGAATAACAACATGTAAAAAAGCCAGCATTCACTTTGGTATGTTGATGTGTTTAGCRATTTAAGTTAGTGTTGTGTTGCTTTCGTTTTATTGTTTTTTTTTTGCATTGTTTTCTATATTTCTTCATGTTATTGATGGTGAATTTATATGTTAATTATGATGTGCACATAAAACTCAGATTTCCCATGCAATTAAAATAAAAAAAAACTGAATTCGTTTGATTTTTTTTCATTAGTTAATATTAACAGGAGCGGATCCAGGATTTTACTCAGGGAGGGGTGCAGGGCTCTCAGCAGGGGGTGCACCCACGACAAAAATCATTACCATAAAGATACAAAATATTGAAGGATACAGATCTCAGGAGGGGGTGCGCACCCCCCTGAACCCACCAGCTGGATCCACCCCTGATTAATCAGAAAAGAAAACACACGGTTTTACGTTGTTACTGCGACGTTTCGGCGTGTTCATGACGCCATTATCAAGCTTATAATACATTCAAAAAAATAATATACTTTTTCATTGGTCGAGAGGAGTACAATAACAGCATTAATTGTACTCCTTATAAAATTTTGTTTCACTGAATGTACTATAAACAATATTAATAATAATTATAATAATTAATAATATTAGTCAGATCAGTAAAAAATAAAAACAAATTGTTATCTTACAATAACAACGACGACTTGAAGCCTTCTGCTTAATTTGTCTAGAGGGACTACACCGGCTGTCGGTTTATTTTGGACTATCTTCTGAGACAACCTTAACCTCTTGGTTGAATCCCATCGGCCCACCTTCACATCAACAAAAAACATGAAAGCAATACATTTGAATCTCTTGCAAGACAGCCTCAGTTGGTGTTCATGAAACAGCAAAACTCTATAGTAATGACTAGGGAAGTTTATTTATGCGAGCGTCCTCAAGTGGAGATTCGATTTACAGGTGTTWTTGACCATATGAAAAACGAGCAGAATGATTTTTTTAAAACTCTGTTTTCACAATAGAGTACTAATCAAAAGTGTGACGTCACAGAAATTGTTTTTTCGAATTTTTCGGATTCGTTGACATATCCTTTTAAAAAGCGCGTGGAAATGAAACTAAGACACTCATATTTTGTTAGCAAGGATGCATTAAAAATGATGCACTTTCARAATATGGAGGGCAAATTTCAAAACTCAAACATTTTCGTTTGGTGACGTCATCACTTTAGTACTCTATAAGAAAGAGTATATTTAAACTCGTGAATTGGCGTATTTTRATTTAGTTTCAAATGGTAAAATATCGGCAGAGCTACGAGGACTTAAAACGCACCAAAACCGTGAAAACGAGGCTGGTAAGGGCTCAATACTGATTTTCTYTGTAATTTCTTGTCCTTAAATGTAGGAGCATTGAAACTTTCASATCTCAYTCATTATAATATGTTMTTTCAACKGGTAGTAATGATATATTAACCAACTTAKRAACTCAGTTGTTACSATAGCCACGCCCTTTTTCATATGGTCTATAAATATTCAGTAGTAAACAGCGCTTCAACRCGRATTGGCATCTTTATTCKTGATTTATTGAGTGCTTTTTGTCTGTAGTTCAAGAGTGACCTACCTTGACAAAGCGGTTATGCTGCAAATTAAGGACATCAAACTTCATGCCTCGTCTACTTGAGTCGTCTCCAAGTGTAATACGCCCAGTTGTGCTGTTGATGTTTGCCTGATARACATGCAAGTYTATGCTGAGTTTAATACRCAAAAATCAKTATTTTTCGTTTATTATCATTTTTGCTCTCCTCATAATTATCGAAATTTATATAAAAACCTTTTTCATTTCTTGATAGATGCGTGGTCCATTCGCTGAAASTKTGATACTCGTTGTTTTGTTCCTATTTACCCATAGTCCTTTACTGATGACATTCTGCAGCGCATGGGCAGTGACTAATGTGGCGTCAAACGCGAATAAGGAAGAATTCTGGAACAATRTATGGATTAGTGATTTCATTTTAGTCGTATTTTCGTTTTTTGATTAACCTACACAATACTTACATAGAATGATTTCATGTTGACATTGATATCTTTTCCAAGRTGCTGGGTGAAATTATTAGATTCTATTTTAGGCATGAACCCTATCACGACTTGGGAGGATTGGGCTGGAAAAGTGAGTGACGTCAACTTAAAAAAAGATAGAAAACTAAGTTAATTATTTGAATCATTGCGATAACGTGCTTTATGTTTATCATCATAATGTAACAATTTTAWTAGCATTGCTGTTAACTAGAAAAAATAGCAACAAAGATGATAACTAATAAAACGCTTGGTCKTGCCGATTTGATATGCCGAGTTTTCAATAATGGTTTTGTAGCAAGTTCAGTAGCAAGGATTAATAAGATATGAAAGGTTATCTCTTAGGATGTTCCTTAAGTSAGAAACCTTTGCTATATATTAAATTATAAGCTCTTACTTGAATGAAATATATTTTGAACTGAGAGATCTCACATGATCTTACTCACCATGTCTGCAATCARCCAAGCATGCGGTTTCTCTATTTTATAAGAACATGCGCAGTGGACCTGAAGGTTTTTAACATAACTTCGTCAGTTACAGAATCCAACCAGTTATCCCTCTATATGAACACTCGATATACCAAATTKCCAAATAATGAACAAACGTTCTAAACGCGTTAACATCGACACATTCGTTAGCAACATAAAGGCCCGCTTAAACTTACAATTTTTGCAGAGCGATTATCGTGGCGATCGTCGYGCGACCATTGCCTGATTTCGAACATACTTGATAATTATCTTCAACTTCTYGACGGTTTCTAACGTCGCAACAATCGCAGGCTGTTTACACGTACGATTTTAGTTGCGCGACAGCAAAGTGGCGATTATCGCGCTGCAAAAATTGCAAGAGTTTAAACGGGCCTCAACAATTCAGCATGGATATTTTTAGATTCTCGATATTCCAACCTGATCTATAACATCTACAGCAAGTTTAAAATCAAAGAACAAGACCACTGCTTCTACAGGGGCATTATGAAGATTCTGCAACTGTCTCTTGGTATCTCCACATATTGTGTTTTCGTTTTCTACCTCTAAAGTCAATTTACTAAAAGAACTATTTGTTGGAAGAAGAGATATAAAAGAATTTGCTTGATTGCGCCATCGTACTGAAAAAAGAATGAACAGAAATTGATTATAAAAACAATKTAGCAGGACATTATTTCCAAGATTCATCGTATTTTCATATCTGACGATGATACGTACATGCATTTTTTTTATGTACTTTTGAAAAGCAAATTGTTGATCAGTATAAAAATAAAATATATAAAAAGAACTTCAATCGCAACTTTACAACACACACACAATATGTTTTTTTTAAAAGATTTTAAAATGTCTTTGTCTAAAATGTAATTAAATGGAGATAAACAATCTTTACAGAGACCAAAAATGATCGARTGAAATTCAACAGAAGAAAGAAAAAAACAACAGCAAAAAAAGAATGAAAAAGGAGAAAAAAAAAACATCAACTATCCTAGAGGATTTAGATATTGAAACAAAATGGACTACTTCATTGATATCTTTCTTCCCTTACACTCCCAAAAAGACATGCACAGTTTATATTCAAAATACTAAGATATGCTTCTTCTACATTGATTAATTAGTTACTAACTTTCGGAAAACTTRTCCATCATCAGGGCAAAATGAMATTACAATGCGTGCGCRAGGATACCATTGCAGTATGTTTGGGTTGAATTTACGCGCTCTAGAGCAGCTATGTTACTATAGTGTTCCGCTCACGCATTGTAATTTCATTTTGCCCTTATGATGGTAAAGTTGTCCGAAAGCTCTGTAACTAATAAATCAACGTAGAAGATGCATACCTTAGTACTTTAACATGTATCCTCCGTACGATAATGTTTTAACAAGTTATATTCAGTTTCATAGAACACTTACTATCATAGATTACAATTATGTCAYTCCATTTCTGCTGCTTTATTACATCCCTCATGGCCTGYCCTATCTCATATCCGCTTGTTCCCAGGCACACGTTGTATTTCGGAAGACCTCTATTGGTTGAATACTGGTCATGTGACTCATGCATTGTGACCAATGGAATATGAAGCATTCTACTGAGGACATCATGGGGAGGAATAGTTCGTGACTCAACCAGAAGGGCAATGACGTCATGATGAGATATTGATTGCACTGCATCGAGGGAAACAWTTTGATTATTTATTGAGCTATCAATTATATTAATTTTGTATATTTTTTTGATTTTAATTGAGTAACAAAAATTGCCTTGTAACACACATACATGCCAGAAAARAAACGTCACCATTATCAATAAAATCATTTTTATAGCATTACTAAAATTACTTCAATCAGGGGAGTACACTACTGTTAGAATAAAAATTGTTATTTGATGAACAACAAAGAGAGACATGCAATACAAAAAACGAAGATCTCCAGTAGAACAATAGGGATTGTTTAACATAATCCTACAATTCTTTGTATTTAATTGCTGTTTCGATCAATCCGACAAGCTTCGTTCTGACGGTAGTAGTCGACCCTTCAATCACGATAACCAAAATATAAGGATAACAACATAATAACAGGAAAAWTTATTAAATAATTTATAACAAATTCTTGGCTTTCAGGTTACCTCACAGCGGCCATCTTGGAGGAACTTTAACAAAGGATTTTTTTAACTTTTACAAAGGATTTCTCATTAATATCTACTGTTCATTCCTCCAACATGGTCGCCGGTCTTTTAATGAGGTTTACGTACCATACTCAAGTAGGTTCTCTTGAACTGAGGTCTGATTTGCATTAATAAGAAGCTTAACGTTTGTTTCTGGTAGGAGATTTGACACTTTGTTGATGTAGTTAATGGCGGAATTCAAAGCTTCATGAAATGATTTGTCGATCTGACCAGTCGTCGATGCTGTAAGATATGTTATAAAATGCGATATCAAGCAAGAAAAGTTTATTTTGTGTGCTTTAATTCTAATTACTAGGCAGAATCTTCTAATGTTCGCTTTTTTTATATGTGTGCTGCTTTATTTGTGTGTCAAAATCTAGTGAAATACCAAGTAATTGATTGAGGAATTCGCAAATTCTGTATTTATGCAAGTTGCTAAGGCACGGTAATACGATAAGCAAAATCGTCCAACCTTTCTTGCTACATTGCTGCGCAAAACAGCTGGAAACTGATGCTGCGCGTACTACTACTGGCGAACCAACTTGTCTCGCAGCAAAATATAATTTGTTTCAGGCTGAATAACTTTGTTGCAGAAAGTATAAGATAGTTCTACTTTTTGCAACAAAATCCGCCTGGAAGATGATTTCACCGGMTCCGCCCCATCTATGGCAATACTGATGATGACAGTTCCCGCCTACTTGGTAGGACTAGTTCTTGTGAGTCAGGTTGTACGCGATAAGTCGCATCATGTWAATCAATCAGCCTAACGAAAACACACCACATCATGTAGCGACAGAGAAGATGAACAGTTTGTAAGTGTTGTTTGTTTGTAATTTCGTAGCTGTATCTTTAGTCTTTAGTTTGTTATCGTAATCATAGTATTGTTTATCGATTTT